ATACAGCCATGATGATTTCATGTCTGAATAGAACCATCCTTCTACTATAATATGCGGAAGCCATTTTTGAGAAGTTGATCTTGCTTCCTTTATTTATTTTATTTTTTTCCCGAAGGCGACTGTTAAAACACCCTAATGGGTGATTTTGAAAATATAAGTCACTTTTATAAGAAGCACCGTAAAATATTGCAAATCCTTATGGCAGCATGTAATAGAACTATTATTCAGCTACAAAATGAGCCATAATACGTTAAAATCGGACTGAAAATACGTGTGCTATGCGTAAAAATGTAAAGGACCTAATAATCGTGATCTTTTTCCTATTCATTATTTATACATTTTGCATGACAAATCATGTACAAAATACTTGTTATTGATATAATTATCTATTATTTACCTATTATTGGCTGCTACCACCTGAAAAATAACAGTCAGGCCTTGAAATTTTAAGGTATGATCCAGGGGCCTAGAAACTCCTTGAAATCGCATTTAACTCAATTCCGGCAAGATGGACGAAAATCACCGAAAAAAGACCAGACGGTTCCTTTAATGGAATAGGCTGTTGAGGAGGAAATATCCGTTTATCTTAGATTTATCATTTAGCTAAATTATAAGAAGTTAGATTTGTTCTGGCTTTGCATTTCCTCTTGAAGTTCTATTCTGTATGGACTTTTTCTTCAATATGACTATTTTTTGCATAGGTGCAGTCGTTTTGGTTAATATTAACTGCTTGGATGCACTAAGCTTGGGCTAAAACACAAGCGCGCACACACACCCGCACACACACACACACACACACACACACACACACACACACACACACACACACTCACTCACTCACTCACTCACTCACTCACTCACTCACTCACTCACTCACTCACTCACTCACTCACTCACTCACTCACTCACTTTATATGTGTATTAAAAAAATGTGTTTATTAGCCTATAATTGTAATTTTTTCTTTTTTACTTTTAGGTGATATAGCTGTATGTGAATACTGAAATACTAAAAGTTGTTATTTATTGTTTTGTGATTGCCTGATTGCTTCAAGATAAAGAAGACAGTAGTCATGCAATATATTTGATTTCTTTACTCTTGCTCCAGCTACTTGATAAAAATGGTCTGGAGACGGTAGCCAAGGCTCTTTCCTCTGCCTGCTGGACTCTTACTGAATCTGGAAGTATTGAAATAGGGTCCATTACAGCCTCCTCTTCAGCTCAGGCCAGTGTGCCCCAGCTCACACTTGCTCAAGGAAATGCCCGCCCTGTCACTCAAGTCTCAGGTAAGTCATGTGAAGTTTAGGATTGGTTTTGTAGGACAGTTTCATATGTAGGATCCATGGAAATAAAATTAATCAGTTTGCTTAGTAAGTTGCCAGATCGTCTCAGATCCTGTTGCGGTGCGGGAGCGTTGGGCTGAGTATTTTGAGCAGCTGTACCGGGTTGACCTACCAACAGTTAACTTGGATGTGGGTAGTGCTGTGATTCTGTTGCCGGACCCACCCATCAGTGAGGATCAACTGAAGTTAGGGAGGTGATCTCCAAGCTGAAGAGTGGCAAAGCAGCTAGTATTTGCGGCATCCCAGCTGAACTCTTAAAGGCTGGTGGGGAACTTATGGCGCGTGGGTTGCATGGGTTGTCTTGGCTGCCATCTGGTGGTCCGGTACCATTCCCCCTGACCTGTTGAGGGGTGTGGTCATCCCTCTCTGGAAGGGGTAGGAGGACCGATGGGACTGTAGCAATTTACCGAGGCATCACACTGCTCATTATACCAGGCAGGGTTCTTGCTCACATCCTTCTGAGACATATCAGAGACCACTTACTGAGGCATCAGAGGCTGGAGCTCGTGAGATCGAGTGTGGGCTGCTTGCAGCCTACATCAACCTCAAGAAAGCATTCGATAGGGTGCATCAAGAATCACTCAGGGAGATCCTGAGAATGAGAGGAATTCCAACAAGTGTTATTGGACTAATTGCAAGTGTGTATACTGGTACTGAAAGTGCTGTAAAGTGTGGTGGGGGCCTGTCGAGCTTCTTTCCTGTCAGTTCAGGAGTGAGGCAAGGCTGTGTCCTTGCACCAACACTTAAAAACTTGCATGGACTGGATACTGGGCAGAGCTACTGTTCAAAGTCATTGTAAAGCAACTCCAGGTTACTGACCTTGATGATGTTGCTATTCTATTTTGATTTTGATATTTTTGATTCTAAATATGTCTCATATGAAAGTAAACAATATGAACAAAGAAAAGATACAAAGTTATAAGTGGGCTTGGTGGTTACTCTTTAATTGTTCATTTTGTTTTGCAAAGAATATACACTGCTATACTTGAAAAATTGACAAAAAAAATATAACAATTTTTTTTATACAGTCACAGGAGGGTCAGCCAATAGTGGTTCACCAGGCCCACCTGAACGGCCCCCTACGTTCCAGCGAGACAATTCTCAGATGACAACTCTTAATGAGTTGGGAAAGAAACTGTTGGCAGCAGCAAAGGTGGGCA